AGTTGAGCGCGAGCTGCCCCCATCCCCGTATGCCATAACAGCCCACTTGCACGCTGTGAGAGAGGCAGAGTGAAGGGGAAGGTGTTAAACACAGGGAAAAGCTCAAGAATGAGGCTGTCCTTGACGACAGAAAGGACACACATTGTGAGGATGGGGTGGATGAGCGCATGGAAGACCTAACTGAGCATTCTCAAAACAACAACTGCCACGACGGCTGGCATTAAGCATGCCAACCATACATTCCTGACAAATAGTACATATATATTCTATTTGACGATATATAGTCAAACAGAGCTGCCCGGTAAACCATAGGCAGAGAGGAAGAAGAGGACAACAAACGAGGGGCWATATATATATATATATATATCATCACATGAATATCAGAGCGCAAAGGCTTAAAAAAAAAAAAAAAAAACAGAAGAAAACAAGAGAAAAATAATTCATTTTTTTATCATCTTCTTACTTACAACTCCCCCTGTTCAGAACCTCTTGCGTACAAGGCCGCCCACGTGGATGTAGGTTGAGCGGCGGCTGGCCCCACCGGGCCCACCCCCTTGTGTCATATCGACCCACTTGCACACAGCCAAAGGGCAAAGAGGCAAAGAAAAGAGGAAGGGAACAGCCAAATACAACAAAACAGGGGGCAACAGGCAATAGCACCAAAAACGGATCCTAGATGACAAGTCCCACATGCAAGCACCGCCCCTCCTTCACAGGCCAAACGACAGGACAAGACCACCCAGGACAAAACTCCTGTCTGCAAAAAAAGAAAAATCCCAGATTACATATCTATATACAGCAGATGGCCTTGTTCGTCATCAAGACGTGGGTATTCCCATTTGTATATATAGCTGGCCCCCGGGGGGGGTCTGTTCGCTGGTCTTGGGAGTCGGAGTCTATGGTTTTGAAGGGCTAAAAATTTGAGAAAAATATATATATATACAGAAAAAAAATCCTTAAATTCCCTTAATTGAATTTATCTTTGATTCAAGCCTGCTTCATGCATGGGAAGTTTGAACATTGGCTGAACTCGGGAGGTAACAACACTCCGGGTTTTGAATGCGAAGGGCTACTTTGGCCGATCCTTTTTATGTGCACGTGAGAGGGGGCATCTGCACAGCAACTGGCTTCTAGATTTGAACTCTTGACAGGCTCATCAAAAACTTGAGGAAAAGGGACACTGTAACTTTCAGTTTGGAACCGCGGCTGCATCCTCCCGCTTCATAGTTTCATCATGTCGTTAAAGAAAAGCTCAACATTGCAGTGTCACTCTCTCCAGAGTTCGACATCAGAAATCAGTTGGCTTTTCAAGTGTGGAGCAACAGCAGGAACAGTATCCCAAAACATGAAACAGCCTTGACTGACAGTGCAGCATGGACCGTATCGCCGTTATTGTTCGAACGGTCACGGACGACGTCAGACTTTTTTATGGGGTGCCGAAGCTGACGGTGCGTGCACTGCGTGTCACGGAAACCGCTCGCGCGAGAATCCTTAAGGCGAGAGGAGAATGTCTCGCGTTCGATCAGCTGGCTCTCCGAGCGCCAACTGGGTCTAAGACGGTATTGCTTCGTGGACCAAAGAACGCTCCTGAGGCGTTCAAGCATTTTGGCCCTGCTCCCAGTGTGCCCCACAGTCACACGAAACCCTATGTCAGAGCCAAGGGAAGAAAGTTCGAGAAGGACAGAGGAAGAAGGAACAGCCGAGGGTTCAGGCATTGTGTTCGCTCTATGCGATCGACACTTGCAGCTGCTCTGCTTGCTGCTTAGCCTCCCGGCATCGTTTTTCCCCGACAGCATTTTCTCGATCTGTGAATGGAACACGGGACGAGTGGACGAGTGGGTGTTGCACATCTCGGCCTCAGCTTTGAATGGGCCTCTCAAAGGGATCGTGTGATTCAAAATACCCATGAATTCACTCACGAACGCACGACAGTGAGTGCATCTGTCTCTCGTGAATTTATGGATTTTCGGAATCGCATGTCGGTGTTGTCCAAGTAGGGGGAGGAATGCAATTCAGCCACTGTTAAGACGAGGACGGGATAAGAGGCGGAGTTCCATCCTTCAAAAAAAAAAAAAAAAAAAAAAAGTACTCCACACTCTGCTCTCTCTTGACGCGGATTCAAAGAACAGAAAGAAACTAGCTGCAAAAAAAAACCTACCAGCACTCCGTGCTCTGCTCTCTAACAACACGGACACAAAGAACAGGAAGCAACTATAGCAGAATGTAGCCGAGTCCTAATTGAAACAACAACTCTTATTTCCCTGCAAAAGTGGCACACGACATCCAAAAGAAAGAAAAAATGCAGGTAAGGATGAAGCAATGCATGACCAGTAGCAGCAAAAAACGCTGTGAAAACAACAAAGCTATTCAATGGAGTAAGGCAGAATTCACCCCATACACTCGCATTACGGCTTCCCCCTCCACAGCCTGGCCTTCAAAACACACACAAACACATGCCAGTAGATATTCCTGACTGAGTGGTTGTGTACAGCGGGTTTTATGACTGTGACTTACTGCCGTTCTTGTCAGGGGTTTGGACCAAAAGTCGCCACAAGTGGGTTAGTGTGAGTGACGCCAAGTACTTTTCTCAGAAGTATTGCTAACTCCCTGTGACATTGTGAGTCCTTATCCACCAGTGAAATACATCCTTGGCAGACGGTCAGTGTGCAACCTCCTGGTTAGTCGGTGAAAGCTCAACGAAACAGTCTAGCGCAGTCATGGTTTTTCCGTCGAGCTGTATGGCGAGCATGACAAGACACACACATGTGCTTCTCCGACCAACTGCCGTCATTGTCACGGGGGTCGGACTAGACAGTCCGCTAGGATTGCAGGGTTGGTCTAAAGTGTAACCAGTCGATGAGAGTCCAACGAAAGTGTCACAGTCACCCTATTTCCTTTCGTGGGGTTGCTTTCAGTGACCACACACACACGCACACGCATGCACACACAGCACACACATGCCCACAGCACACACACAGCACAGCACACACAGCACGCGCACACACACACACACACACACACACACACACACACACACACACACACACACACAGAGGACAAGATTTCTTGGTTTCTATTTGCATACATTCCCGTTTGGGGCATTCACTCTCGAACCACCACTACGTCCGAGGCTGTTATTTACGAGCCATCCAAGCACTGCACGCTGCGGGCGCCCTTTTTCTTCTTTTTAGCTAGCAGTGCCGGGCATTGTGGTTCCGTAGTCCCCAAGCCCCGAAACGCGCCCTTTTTCTTCTTTTTACCTAGCAGTGCCAGCCATTGTGGTTCCGTAGTCCCAAAGCCCCGAATCTTTCGGAAATATCCGTTTACAGGTGCTCGATTTGCCTTGGGTGCGTAGTGGTGGTTTAAGACTCAGTTGGTCCAAACAAATACCTGGGCGCTCTTCTTTATGGTGGAAATTTCATTCAAGGAGATCTATCCATAAGTACGCTCCCTTCTTCATGTCATCGCATCCTTGTGAAAAGGCTCAGGCTCAGAGAGTCTTTGCTGTGGATGAGATTCCCATGGGCTGTCTATACATCGGAGCACATGCCAAGTGGGTTAGCAGGATGCTTTCACCAGTGGCTATCCTGCTGCTTGGGGGGGGTTATGGCACAGGCCCGGTTTCTGTTCCAATTTGGTGTCATGGGCTTGTAGTCGAGCTCCGAGGGTTTCTGCTGGGGGTAAGATTTCCATAGCATACGGTGCCTTTCAGAGCACATGGCGTGGTACAGGATGCCTTACCCAATAGGGCTGCTGGTGAATGGCGACGTACGTCAAGGCCCTGGGACAGGGATGCCTTTTCTTTTTTTTCTTTTTTCTTTTTTTTCTCCTTTCTTAAATTCTTTCTTTTTTTTTTTTCTTTTTTTTTTTACATTCTCACGATACATCTGGTCATCATCATGGACTGGGATGCCCTTTTCTTTTGGGGTGCTCTTGGGCATGGATGACTCTGAAAACAACTAACTGGTGGTTCATACAAGAGCTCCCGTGGATGACTCAGATAGTGTTAACCGTGGGTAGAATTCCCACAGGCTGTCTTTGTTTCGGAGCCCATGGACTTGGGCGGCTCGGGCGTTTGGGGTACTACATACTAATGATCCTGATGCCATGTGGGGTGTGACAAAGGTCCTGTTGGCAAGGTCCATCAGTGAACTGTGCTCCGTGACGAGTCGGTGGACATATGTGTTTAAGGCTCACAAGAGGCCTTCGCATCATATCTGGTGACGAGAGTTAGACTACCGTCTTCACCCGAATAGAACGCCCCGTTAATATAGCCGTATTTGGACTGCAAAGTGCACCAAATACGGCTATAATGACCGGGTGTTCTATTCGGGTGAAGACGGTACTCGTGCTTGGCTCGGGGGTCAATGGTGAGGAATGGTGATGAATGGAGTGCTTGGTCGTCTGTTCGTTCATTCTTGGGTGCAGACGTGCAGGCACGGCCAACTCAACCAACCACACAGTTGTGGTTTGCTCTGCACTCTGCATATTATTATTCTGTCTATGCCTTGTCTGATCATACACGGTATACCGTGCAAGATGAGGTAATCGGTCGTCCACACACACACCATGCTCACACATGCAGCGTGTGCTGTGCGAAGTCCAGTGGATGCTGTAGCACGCATGCAACAACAGCAACAGCAGGCGTAGGTGGGCGCTGCACCCTCTCACCCCCATTATCTGAGTAAATGGGGGGGTTACCCCGAAAGTTCCCCCCCCTCTTTTTCTCTTTCCTCTTTCCTTATATGGATTTACGCATGTCATCCTTGCGCAAGGGCCATGCGAATCTTCTCTGTGTCGTTCCAATGTTAACGGATGTCCCGAACGACTCCCCCCTCTTTTTTTGAAAAAAAACACAAAAGAGGCCACAGCGTTGAGATATCATCCTGAAACTGACCCGGCCCAGGTAATTCAGACATTTTGTTCATCTGGTTGGTTCCATCTGGATTCCAACTCAGGTCTGCATTTCAACACTTTGTGGGTGTACCAACTGAGCTAAGCCCTTTTTTTTTTTCTTTTTTTTTTCCAATTGAGCTAAGCCCATTGGTACTCTACCCCGAACTTTTTTAAACTTGCAATTTTGCAGCTATAATAATTTGCACATTGCGTTAAAAAAATAAAATAAAAAAATTTGCACATTGCCGTTGTGATTTCCGACGTTTGCAGCGCGCCCTTCTGACACCTGCAAGTTCGTGGCAGTCCCCCACTGACACCCTGTGGCCAAAAGTACAGGCTGAGGCATCAGATCAAGTTGAACCAGCAATGAACCGGGGCGTCAGAAGTGCCCACACAAATATTAGAAATTACAGGGGCCGTGCACGCAAGCTATAAGGGGCAAAACACAAGTTTCCCTTTTTTCTTCTTTTTATTGGGGTAGCGCAACACCCCACCTAAAGTCCTCTAAACAGATATTACAGGGGGCGCGCACGCAAGCTATAGCGGCAAAACACAGGCTTTCCTTTTTTCTTTTCTTTTTATTGGGGTAGCGCAACACCCCACCTAAGCTGTTTTTTCAAAAAAAAAAAAAAAAAAAAAGTCCTCTAAACGATCCACGAAATAACCCAGAACGAGAAAAACAAGCAACAATTTTTTATTTTTATTTTTCAAGCAACAAATTTCTTTGACTGCCTGGCCGAGGTCACTGCAAAGCACCAAAAAAAAACAAAAAATCCCATTTTTTCCGGGGGAAAACGGCATTTTGGAAAAAAAAGAGGGAGTGGAAGGAGAGGAGAAACACGGGATGGGGATGGGGATGGGTGGGAGAACCGCAGGTGGGGAGACGAGAGGAGGGGCGACGATCGGGAGTGGTGGGGAGAGAGAAAGAAGCACTGTTGGGCCAAG